ACTAAGACCTACTGAGCGCCATCGTCTCCATCACCCTCCTAGTAGTAAGCGTAGGGATCCTCCGGAGCTTCATCTCCGGCCTCTGATTAAGTTTGTATATTGCAAGGGTGAGTACCAACCGTACTCAGCAAGCCACCACAGCAACAATGCACATGATAGGGGTATTCAAAGGATGGCTATGGTTCTTTTGCGCAAAGCAAGTTTTGTAATTCTTTTCACAAGCCTAAGACCTAGCATAGACTGATCAAATTTTAGTACCAGTGTTCACATTAAACAACGACGGTTCTGTCCACCATCCATTGTGATCCCAAGGATAGCTTCCCGCCACTGAGTCGTCATGGTTTTCTGAGGACGTCCACCTTCCCGCCTCTCAGGAAGTGGCTGCAACAGCATAAAATCATCATGCAATAACCCATCCCACACAAGTTAAGAATTTAGAGTCTAGCCAAGTGTAATACACGTCCCGGTGCTCAATAACCGCGAGCACGGCTATTCGAATAGATTTGGTTTACTCACACTGCAGTGGATGTACACTTTACCCGCACTCCGCGACTGCCCAACACATGAGCTTCGCCCCAACACATGAGACCTCGCATTGGCAGTACCCGCTCCATGAACCATACATCCTCATGCACTCTAGGCATACACGGTTTCTAGCAGTGAGAGGAGTTCTGGCGCACCCGGGAAGGGAAGACTCACACATGCATTAAGATATAATTATGTTTAGATTTTCACATGGCAGTCCTACCGATGGCGACACCACTGTAGACACCCGCCTCGCGGTCCTACCAATGGCTGCCCCACCGTAGAGCCCCTGCCTCATACATCAAGAAACCACTATGCATGGATACTGCCTCCGCTCAGCTATCTACTCCGCTAGGTCTATACCCATACAAGAAGTGCGGTTGTACGGGGGTCGTTTCATGCTTAACTTCATGGCTTGGTCCTTAATTGACCGGGGACGGCACTAGCCTTTTCCGGACACCACCCAAATCCTCCGTCCGCCCCAGTCGAAAACAGTTGTTTAATTTTATTTCTCCTTTCACAAATCATATCATCAACATCATGGTAATGTGGCGCTCATGTCTCCACATGCCGCATCTCAATTACCTTCCCAAAGGTAATTGCCCAAGCATATAGCATTTGATAAATATGAGTATGCATGATTCTAGAATAGCATTTCTAAGCAGTTGTCATAATTAACTAGGGACTCATACGTAAACATGGTTACGAAGGCATAAGGGGTAAACAATAATCAAGGCATGGCATAATCACAAGTAGGATGTTCATCATTGCATGCAATTTTATTTGTAAACAAAATAATTTCGCAATTGGGATCAACATGTTCAAAGAATAGTGATGACTTGCCTTGCTCGTAGTTCTGCGGGTCTTGATCCTCGCTCGGATCCGCAACTCCCTCAGGGTCTAAAAGTACGTGCGAAGAATTTATTTGAACTCAATTAGAATTCAAATGAAATCCAAATAAACTCAAATAAAAGTCGAATGCGAATCGATCTTTCTATATCGACTACAAAGTTTGCAAAACCACTTCATTCCAATTTTAAGTTCATTCATCCTAAGTCTTTTTGTGATTTAGAAGTACATTCCTAAGAATTCAACATAATTATTTAGCTCTTAAATAAATCTAAATTTCTACCGCGAATTGATTACTTATAGAGATTACCAAAATATTCTATAATTATATAAAATTTTGCAATTCTACAACTAAAAGAAACCTACAACTAACCCCAATTATTTTAATTTTCTAAACCTCCTTAATCTCTCCCTAATTTTCTATTTATTTTTACTTTTCTTCTTTTCTATTCTTTTTTTTCTTTTCTTTCTTTCTTTTCATCTCTCTTCTTTCTTTCTTTTTCTCTCCCTCCCGGCTTCTCCCTTCCTCTCTCTCTCTCGGCTCACTGCCTACCCGGGGCGGCGGCGGCGACCGAACAAGGGGAGGGGCGGCGGCTTACCGACGGCGGCGGTAGCGACGGCGGCGCAAGGCAGGCGACGCACGGCGCGGCACTCGGCGCGGCGCGGCAGCACCGAGGGTGGCGGCGCGGCGGCATGAAGGCGGCGGCGCGGTGGAGAGGAAAGAGGGGAAAATGGAGGAAGAGGAGGTGGGGTGGTGTGGGGTGAAATGGTGACCGGGGAGGGGATTTATAGGGCGCGAGGAGAGGTGGCCGGCCCTAATGGCGACGCGACGGCGCGGCGCGTGGGGCTCGAGGCGGCTACGGCGATGGGCGCGCGGCGCGGCAGGCGGTAGCGGTGACGCGACGGGTGGGCGGCGCGGCGCGGGGCTCGGCGCGACGGCGACAGGCGACGCGACGGCGACGCGGCGCGGCAACGGCGCGGGGCGCGAGGCGGCGAGCGCGCGGCGTGAGGCGACGGGACGGCGGCATGGCGACGCGACGGCGCAACGGGATGGCGCGCGGCGCGGCAACGGCGATGGCGACGGCGCGCGATGGCAGGCAGCAATGGGACAGCGCGCGGTGACGGCGACGCGACGGCGTCGGCGGCGCGGGGCTCGGGGCTAGCTAGGCTAGGACCACATCAAGCACCTTGTAGGCAATGAATAGTGCTAGATCCTTATTAACCCTAATTTAATCTATTTTCTATTTAAATCTCGCCCTATAAATTCTAACTTTTGCACAAATCAAGTTTACTCAATATTTGTGTTGCTCTAACCAAAAGATTCGCCCTAGATTAACATTACCCATATTTTATTTTTATATAATTTACTTGAATTTAATTAAAGTTAATTCTTATTCCATCGCACTTAAATTTAATTGATACTAATATGGTCGCGATAATATTTTTATTTATTACCAACCTCACCTAATCTTTATTTTAAATTATATTTTAATTATTTATTTTGCCAGTTTAATTTTAGGTTTTATTCCTAATTAATTATTCTTTATTCGCGATCAACGAACTCCGAAATCAAAATCCAATGAAATATGCGAATAAAATCGGCATGATGCAATTTATTTAAAAAGATTTTGAAAATCCGTATTCTTAGAGTTTTGATTTTGTTGGTCGAATTTTCAGGGTGTTACATTTGGTCCTCCGGGTGAATGGGAATTTGATGACACCCGGAATACCCAACAAGGAAACAGAAAAAGGAACGATTTGCCAGCCGTTCCAACATTTCGTCAATGGAGGGTAGGGGAAAATGATCCTTTTTTGTTGCCTTGTGAAGCTTCCTGTAGTCTATGCACATCCTCCATCCGGTTACGGTTCGTTGCGGGATAAGTTCATTTTGAGCATTAGCAACGTCCGTCAGTCCTCTCTTTTTCGGCATAACTTGGACTGGGCTAACCCACTCACTGTATGGAACAGAATAAATAATCCCGGCATGCAGGAGTTTTAGGACATCTTTCTTTACAACTTCTCTCAACACATTATTAAGCCGTCGTTGAGGTTCCCTGGAGGGAGTACTCTCGTGCTCAATAGGGATACGATGAGTGCAAAGTATGGGGTTAATCCCTCTGAGATCCTGGAGGGAATAGCCAAGAACAGCGCAATGCTTCTCTAACACAGAAAGAAGACGTTGAGTCTCATCTTCATAAAGCTTGTCACTTATGATGACATGGGCTTCTTTGTCATTGTGCAAGAAAGCATAGTGTAGGCCTTCAGGTAGAGGTTTAAGCTCAAGCGGAGTTCGAGGTGGCAGTTCCATGATTGGGAGTTCGAGAGTCGCACCGAGCTCCGCTTCCTCTTTGATGAAGTCGAGGACTTCATTTTCCAGAAGGGTCTTGGGAGACTTGTTAGGGGGAACTGCCGTAACCTCCTCCGCATACTCATTCTATGGGAGAGAGTCGGTCAAGGTGAACATTGCCCGCAAGAATGAAACTGAGAATTCGTTCCCTCAAAAAGTTATCTTGAGGCTGTCCAATCGGGGCGTATTTATGAGAAGCTGCTCAATTGGAAGTCCGATTAGGATGTCAAAATCTTTGATTTCAAAAACATGAAAATCCAAGACTGCCTCCCTGTCTTCAAAGCAGAGAGGTACGTCTTGCACAATCCCAAATCCTTCAATGATATTTTCATTCGAGTGCTTGAAGAATTTGTTTGTTGGAGTTATAGCTTTATCGCCCAGGTAAGCGAATGCAAATGACTCAGAGATGAGATTAACCCCGACAGTTGGATTGTATAGAATATCAACGTTGTTCCCTTCTAGGTGACAAGGAAGGGATCTAGTGTCATCTCTGATCTCGACGAGTTTATATTCGAGGAGGAAGACTACCCTACCGTCGTCTACGAGTTGATTATCTATGCCGCCAAGTCGATGACAGCTCGATAGGTTATTCCAAATATTGTACTGATGTGATTATGATGAATAAGAGCAACACCGGCTTCGCCCAACAGAAGTAAGGCTATTACCCGTCAGATAAGGTGCCCGAACCTATATAAAAATCCTTGTCTCTATCTTTTTTACCTCAATCTTGCATATACCCTAGTACCAACGATCCCCATACCATGTAAAATACCGTAGTCACGGTACCACCCGTCAACACATACGCACTACTAGGGATATCATTACAATAATTCATAAGAATCATTTTTTACTTTCAAAAAGAGCATGCCAACCAAAATAAAGGATAATCGAAGTTGTTGATTTTGTCCGTTTTCAATTCCTGCCCGACTTGAGATAAAGCTAAACGATAAATCGAGCTCGTGTTTGAATGTCTCATTGCTTGGCTTAGGCTTATTGCTATAAGCAAATTTAAAATTATAACTTGAATTTGACATTTTGGTTTTTTTTATTGTACTTTATTTTACAACATTTGCTTTTGAGTCGCTAAGAACATGTATATAAAATATTTGCACACAAAAAGTCTGTAATTCGAATAAGCACATAATAAACGAAGCGGTGGATTATAATTATTTATTCACCTACGCATATCTACAAATTAAATTGGCTTCCATTGCAATGCGGACATTTTTTTTTTCTAGTACGAGAAGAAAAAATATAATATTGCTAAGTGCGCAATCTCTGCGGAGCCATCACATTGGTTCTTGAAAAAAAGAAAAGAAAAGAAAAGGAAAAGGCACGAACCTCTTTTTCTCGTCGTCCATGGCGATAGAACTCCTAGGCCAGAGTCGATTGCTGATCTCCCCTCGACCAACACAAAATCAATTGAAAACACAGCGTTCTCTGATTGACCATTCCCCTTAACAAAAACCTCTCATCGGAGTGCGCGAGTCGGCTCCGGTCGGCGCTGTATGGCGGCAAATCAGGGAGCTCCGGTACCTCGGTGCTGTGAATCTGCGCCCAAAGGCGGCTTCACTCGCATGAGGCCAGGAACTCGACGGATCAGCCCAAGATCTGGCGTAGCGCCGGTTGCTCGGTGCCTTAGTCGGGCACCGCCGCCGCCGCCCGCCGGCAAGACCGCCCTGGCTCGACGGACTACAGCGGGGATGGAAGAAGGGCGGCCGAAGCGACGGGCCAAACCAAACTGGTGGAACGGGTTCTTTACTCAACTCTACTGTTTTTTCAACATAGTTTTGGTCAGATTCATATTGGAATTTGAAACTTCGGTCAAGTTTTTCTGAACTTCCGGTATCTCGGACCTGGGGATTTGTTGTTGTTTTTTTTTTTTACAAATACTAAGTGATCCCTACTCGTAAAAACAAGAATTTTTTTTCACTCCTAGGAAAAAGATTGAAACGCGATGAGTTCTCGAGTGTTGATCTAATACGAATAGTTTGTCATTGAAATAGATGTCCCCAAAAATTCAATACTACTACAATATCAAGCGAGATGGTTTAACTTGCTCTTGATCCAGATAATTCTTACTAGATGATTATTGTATATGCTGCTATCTTTTGCAATTAATGCAAACAGTAACTCATTTGAGCTGGTTTCATAAATGATTGCAAGAAAGAATTTGTAAATGTTCTCACGTATGCAGGCTGATTGTGTCGACACACTACAGGGTCTATGGCGACTACCTATCTGGTTGTGGAGGTTATAAGCGCTGATATACCCTCAAGCAGCAATACCTCCCAGACCAACTATTCCGTGGAGCTTCATTTCAACAGTCAAAGTAAGAGTACGACCATCAAGGAAAATGTTGCTGTATGGAATGAGAGGTTCTCTTTTGATATGAGACAGCGAGAGGATCCTTCTGGTAACCTCATTCTTGAAGCTGCTGTCTACTGCTTCGATCAGATGAGCAACTCCAAGTCATTGCTTGGCAAGGTCTTGCTACCTGAAAAATATTTTCACCGCCATTCAGCTAACGTAGATCCGATGCAATATACATTGGATAATACAGAGGGCGTCAATGCAAAAGTGCTACTTAAGTTGTTCCTTACTGATGCTGTTGATAGGATTCTGCTTGAAACTGAGGATCGTCATACTCATCAAACTGAGGGCAATGGGTTAAATGGCATTTACAACTACTTGTTTCAAACAAATTATGGTTATGGCAAAGATCAACATGATGATCCGGTTGTCCTGGAGACTGCCGGTTTTGATCTGATGGAGATCAACCCAAATTTCGAGCCTGGCAGGTTGTTTGAGCGAATGCAGCTTCTCTTTGTGCGTGTAATAAAGGCTCGCAAGCTGCCGGACATGGATGCCAATGGCAGCCTTGATCCCTATGTCGAGGTCAAATTTGGTGCTTACAACAGGGGTGTCACCAGATGCTTTAAGAGGAACAAGAACCCAGAGTGGAACGAGACTTTTGCTTTCTCCTTCCAGCATGACAAGATTCCCAGCCCCACTGTGGATATCGTAGTCAACGATAAGGATCTGGTCAGAGATGACTTTGTAGGGAAGCTACACTTGGATCTCAAGAACATTCCAAAAAGGTCTCTGGATGATGTCCCACTGGAACCAACATGGTACCCACTCCTCGACCAGGACGGGACAAAATTAGCACAGGCCAGCTTGCTGCTCGCGATTTGGATAGGGTCACAGGCTGATGAAGCATATCGTCATGTAGGTTTATCAGGGTATATACCCAAAGTGTATGAGAACCCAAACCTATGGTGCTTGCGGGTCACAGTAGTTGAGGTCCAGGGTGTTACAGTAGGAGACGATGAACAGGAGGACATGGCCGGCTGCAACACAGGCACAGACACAGGGGTGTTTTGCAGGGCAAGGTTAGGGAAACAGGTTCAGAGGACTAGGGCACTTGGAAGTTGGAAAGCAAAGGACAACCAGTGGTAGCTATGAATGGAAAGAGGACCTTTTATTTGTTGCTGCAGAGCCATTCTTTGAGGATGACCTTGAGCTACATGTGATTGTTGCAAATCCCGGTAAAGATGAGGTTGTCATCGGCCAACAGACTGTACCATTGTCTTCTATAGTAAAAGGAGGCGATGAACACGACCACTTTGATGTCATGCCCAGCAAGTGGTTTGATCTTAAAAACCCTGATAAGCCACAGTTCGACAGTTCTGTGGATGATGGCAATGACAACAGTAGCCGCATGCGAATTTGCCTAAAGAACATGCTGGATGGTAGATATCGTATCGTGCATGATTCTAAAGGCTATATGGATGACACTAGACCCGCTGACAGGAAACTCTGGAGACCCCCAGTTGGTAGGGTTCATCTTGGGATATTGCGCGCTACCGGCCTCCCACTTAGAATGGGCAAATCAACAGTGAATCCGTATTGTGTTGCAAAGTATGGTGATAAGTGGGTACGGACCCGCACAATCCTCGATGGCCCTGAACATGTATTCAATGAACAGCATACGTGGAGCGTCTATGACATTGCGACCGTACTGACTGCGGGTGTTTTTGACCATTTCCCACACACGCGTAAAGCCCATCGAGAGATTGGCAAGGTACAGATTCATTTATCTTGCCTTGAGACTGATCGAGTATATGCACACTCCTACCCTCTTATCATTCTGAATCGCCGTGGGTTCAAGAAAGCCGGTGAGCTGCAGATAGCTGTGAAGTTGTCATCAGAATCTTTTATCAGCCTATTAGGCATGTACGCACGGTCCACTCTGCCCAAGATGCACTATGAACACCCCCTGACAGTAATGGAAGAAGATAAGTTTCGTTCAGAGGTAGCTGAGGTGATGGCCCTTCGATTCAGCCGGGTGGAGCCGCCCCTAAGGAGTGAGATTGTTGCATACATGTGCAACGCCACCGGAGGCACCAGCTGCTGGAGTATGAGGAAAAGCAAAGTGAACTTTTTTCGACTCATGCAGGTTGCTTCCCCATTCATTCATTTGTTTCAGAGCGTGACCTCATGGAAGAATCCTGCCGTTGCCTTGATTTCTTGTGTCATCTTTGTCCTGGCTCTGTGCTTCCATAAGCTAGTACTCTCGATGGTGATCATTTATTTTGTCTTAGTAGCTTTGTGGAATTACCGGTTCAGACCAAGGAAGCCTCCTTTTTTTGATCATAAAGTATCTTGTTTAGGCAGTGTACATCCAGATGAGATTGATGAGGAGTTTGATAGTGTCGAATCAAGTTGTAGTATTGACCTGGTAAGAATGAGGTACGATAGACTGAGGAGCGTTGCCGGCAGGGTTCAAACAGTTGTGGGTGATGTAGCAACTCAGGGGGAGAGGATCCAATCATTGTTATGTTGGAGGGATCCTAGAGCAACTGCAATCTTTCAGTTCATCATTGTCATGGTATCGATTGTTGTGTATTTTGTACCAAAGAAGGTTCTTGTGGGAATCGCAGGATTTTACATAATGAGGCACCCAAGGTTTCGGAAGAAGAATAATACACCATCGATCGTTGAGAATTTCTTTCGTCGATTGCCAGACAAGCAAGGTACTCTCATATAATACATAGCAGTAACACTTCATCTATATAAAGCTTGGTGCTTTCAGAAGAAGAATACACCATCGAACATTTGGAATTTCTTTTCTCGATTGCCAGACAAGCAAGATATTCTCTTGTAATATTGTGCTCAGCATTGCACTCTTGATCGAGTATGTTAAGTTGCCTTAGCAGCCTTACCTTCCAGGACATGTTGTTCGACTCAAATAACTAGACTGTACCATTTTTTATTCTCTTCTTTGGTTTAGGACACCAATCACATCACATCTGCGTATTACCACGGTGTTGGTGGGCTGTACGTGTATTTCTAAACATTGTAAATACTGAAGTAGTAGGTTACATCGTCCCAACAACTAGTGGTCTAGTATTCTGGATGGTAGTCAGCTGTGTGAGGAGGAACAGATCTTACATTGTGAGAAACCATAGACCACCATCGTGGATCGCGCTCACGCTGCACAGCTAGTAATTTGTTGTAATCGTTGTTGTAGTATTGTGCCTGTTTGAATGGTTATGTAACACTTTATGTCAGTTTTGTAATACTACTACTTAGAGCTGTTTTTTTTTTTTAATGTCAGTTTGTAGAGCTACTTCCTTGGTCCTTGTATCGTGGATGTGCCCGTGCTTGTGCGAGTACTTAGCTTCGATTGTTTGTGGTCTGAACATTTAATGTTTTAGCATCAAGTGAACATTTAACGACTGTCTTCTCATCTTTTTCTAGTAATTGAAAATCATATGCCTCATTTTTTTTTAAAAAAAGTCTGTTTTGAATCTTGCATAGCACAAACGAGCATGAAGATACTATACGAAGTTTCAGACTGCATTATGCATTGCACACCCTGGCACCTTCAGGCCTAGATTGAAAACTGCAACCATTATTTGTATTAGCTGTGCACTGGCTGCTGCTCATGGAACAAGTCAATTGGTTGAAAAAGAATATTAAAAAAGAACTCTCGCAGCACATCTGCACTTTTTTATTTAATCAGAGATTGATCCACTGATCGACCCAGTTTGTTAATAAAGCCAATAACATGTAAAAACAGCCAAAAAGAAAAAAAAAACACAGAAACGCTGGGTTAATTTGCTAGCTTACACGAAAGCACAAAAAGACTCCAGATTGGGCCAACTTCTAAACTGAAACCTCCAGGCACAAAAAGAGACAGCGGAGCTAACAACTCAGCAAGATAGCATCTACTCCGTAGACAGCTATTTGTCCAGATTCATTGTACTAGAAGGAGTCACATTTCATTCTAGATTAAAGTTTTTTTAGTTCCATAAAAAAACCAATCAAGTGCTAGATGTGATACATCCTAATACTAGTTCTATGTTTGTTTTTTTTTTTGACGGAGGGAGTAGGTCTGAATTCTTGACATCAGGTTCCCAACCTCCTCTTCCTCGTTTGCCGCACGCACACTTTTCAAACTGCTAAACGATGCATTTTTTGCAAAATATTTCTATACAAAAGTTACTTAAAAATCAAATTAATTCATTTTTAAAAAAATAATTAGCTAATACTTAATTAATCACGCGCTAATGGACCGCTCCGTTTTTCATGCAGAGGGATGGTTCCCAACCCAACAATCGAACACAGCCAGTGCAGTACAAGTCCATCGAAGCTACAGCCAGGGAAGATCACTGAAATAGGAATAAGTTCACTTTGTGACCCTCAAAAGTGATCAAAATATAATCCGTGACCCTAAACCACAAAACCGGATATCTTGACCCCTAAACTCTTAAAACCGGTGCAATTTGACTCCCTTGGCGGTTTTAAAAGGCGGTTTTGCTGACGTGGCGTCTACGTGGCGGTATTGACCGGGTCTCCTCTACACGTGGTGTTGACGTGGCGTTTAGGTGGTATTTAGAATTAAAAAGTATGTGTGGGACCTATTTATCATGGACACAGAAGAGAAATTGTGGGACCCACGTATCCCTTCTCTCTCCCCTCCCTCTAGTTCCTTCTCCTTCCTCGCCGCTCCCTCTCTCTCTCCCGCAGCGGCGAGCGGTGGAGACATCGGCGAGCGGTGGAGGTGTGGGTGTGGCGTGGCGGCCTACGAGCGGCGGGCGACACTATAGCGGCGACGGTGGCGGCGGCGCCCGGGTTGAGCTCCACCGCGGCGAAGATGGAGGAGACCAGAGCGGCGGCGGCGGGAGGCACACGCAGCGGGGTACAGCGAGCTCGGCCGTGCCCTGCTCAACCTGCAGGCCGCCGCCGACCAGGTCTTCAACACCGTCACGGCACGGGTACGCGTGCTACCCCCCTAGTATTTTGGTGTCGGGAGTCCGTGCGGCCGCCGCCACCGATTTCATGTCATCGGGAGGTGGTGTGGTCTCCTTCGTCTTCGCGGCGGTGGAGCTTAGCCCGGGCGCCGCCGCCACTCCCGCGTCTCCGCCACGCCACTCGCAGGCCGCCGCGCCACACCCGTGCCTCCGCCGCCCGCCGCCGCGACACCCGCATGTTAGTGGGTCGCACACACGGACGTCTTCCTCCGTGGTGAGGACAAGGAAAGCTTCATACTCTAGTCCGTTGCGGTTGAAGGTGTAGTGCAGGATGTCCTCCACTTCTTCCAGCAGCCACGGCCACGCCGGTTGTGGCGAGATCACCTGATCCCCCATGCGCCAGAATGCGACTCGGTGGGCGGAGAGGAAAGGTTCGATGATGCCGGCGACGACGCATCCTCGTTCAGTTGGCGGCCGCGAGAGTGTGGCGGTGACGATGGCGACTTTCTTGAGATCCAGCTTGTCCGGCTCGTACCAGTTGTGTTGGAGGATCGCGTTGGGGAGGTCGAGGTACTCAAAGTTGTTGAGGTTGACGAGGAGGTGCTATTGAGCTTGTGCTCCTCGGCGCCGTCGTACGAACCGAAGTAGCGCTGGGCGTGCCGGAGGAAGAAGGAAGCGCTGGAGCTGCGCTGGTGTTCGATCCGCGTCGCCTCGCCTCGCCTTCGCCGCTGTTGACGGCGCCGGAGATGGCCAACCACCGCCTGACCTCGCCTGCCGCCGCAGCTCCGGCCTCGCCGCCCGCCGCCGCTTGCTCTCGCTGCCCTCCCGCCCGCCGGCCGAAGGGGAAGAAGGGGAGAGAAAGAGAGAGAAGGGAGAGAGGGAGGAGGAAGAAGGAAGGAGGACTGGGCCCACATTTCTTTTTGTGTGAATGACTAATGGGTCCCACTTATATTTTTTAATTCTACTGCCACGTAAGTGCCACGTCAACGCTACGTGGAACAATGACTCGGTCAATATCGCCATGTAGACGCCACGTTAGCGAAACCGCCCTCCGAAACCGCCGAGGGAGTTAAATTGGACCGGTTTTAAGAGTTTGGGGGTCAAGATATCCGGTTTTGTTGTTTAGGGTCACAGATTAGATTTCTATAACTTTTGAGGGTCAAAAAGTGAACTTATTCTACTGTGAACTTATTCTACTGAAATATTGTTGTCCATGTTGGATTGGTGGGCTCGTTTTGCTGGGCCATCGATTTAGGTGGCTCTGTTTCGCCAGCTTGTTCGTGTCCTGTGTGAGAACAGAGAACTTCAATTCGAAAAAGTATACTTCGACTCCCTCAACTATAGCCCGAGTATGATTCATAACCTCCAACCACAAAACCGGGTATATTGACTCCTCCAACTATCAAAACCGGTACAAAATATATCCTTGAGTGGTTTTGGAAGCGGTTTTGGTTGCCGTGGCGCCTACGTGGCAATGTTGATCCAGTCTTTGTCCCACGTGTCATCAATGTGTCGCTTATGTGGCATTTTAGAGTGAAAACAAAATCCAAAAATACGTGGGACCGACATGTCATTCACACAGAAAAAATAGTGGACCCCACATGTCATCCTCTTCCTCATTCCCTTCTTCCTCCTCCTTCCTCTCCCCTCTTCTCTCTCCTTCCTCTTCCACGGCCCCTTCTTCTTCCTCTTCCTCCATCCTCCTCTTGCGTCTTGGCAGTGCTCGTCGCTGCGTTCAGTGTCGGGATGGCGCTCCGATGTCGGTCCCACGTCGTCGGTGCCGAACTGTTTGCGCACGGCGAAGTTGCCCCACGACGGCTTGAGGACAAGAGAGAGAGAGAGATGACGCCGGTGGTGTTGACCTCAACGGCCATGGTGATGGCTGAGGCGGTGGCGAGTGAGAAGCTCGGCGGCGTTGGCTTCAGGAGGAGGCGGCAGACACCGGCGGCTGGGGCGGTCGGCTCCTGCATCGAGGAAGAAGCTCCCTTGGATGTCGGCTGGAGGCCCGTGGTCTCAAGGGCAGCGGCAGACCTCACCGGCAGGGTCTCGGAGACGATGACAGCAGGAAGTCGAACCCCCTGCGCGGCGGCGTCGGGACCGAAGTGGTTTTCGGCGGCAGCGCGATTAAACGATGAGGCGTGCAGCTCCGGAGCTTGGTGGTCAGGCAGGAAGAGGTGCGGCGCAGCAGGTGGGCGGCGACGCGCTTGGGCCGAGAAAGAAGAGCACGGGGAACGAGGAGGCCGAAAAAAGAGGAAGAGGAAGGGGGAAAAAGGAGAGGGAGGAGGGGAGAGGAAGGATAAAGGAGGAAGAGGATGACACGTGGGTCCCACTTTTATTTTACGTGTGAATGATATGTCGGTCCCCTTTTTTTTTGTCTTTTTAACTCTAAAATGTCACATAAGCGACACATCAATGATACGTGGAAAGAAGACCGAGTCAATACCACCATGTAGACGCTACATCAGCCAAAACCGTTTGCAAAACCACCCAGGGATATAGTTTGCATCGGTTTTAATAGTGGAAGAGTCGATATACCGGTTTTGTGGTTAAATGTTATGAATCATACATGGACCATAGTTAAGGGAGTCGAAGTATAATTTTTCCACTTCAATTTGACCAATTGATTATCTTGTTCTTTTGATAACACGGTCAAGCGCGGGTACAACACTTGTACACGACTCCTGAAGGAGGGTAGAGGAGAGGAATGGAATCATTCAGACGGGCAACCAAGGGCCTGTTTGGCACAGCTCCAGCTCTAGCTCCACCCCTCCTGGAGCTGGAGCTCAGCCAAACAGTTTCAGCTCCACCAAAACTGGGAGTGGAGATGGGTGGAGCTGTCTCACAAAATGAACTAGAGTTGTGGAGCTGGGTTTAGGCAGCTCCACAACTCTATTCCAGACCCAACTCCTGGAGTTAAATTTAGGAGTTGGAGCTGTAACAAACAGGCCCTAAGTTATAGTTTCTACATTTTAGCTCTTTTTAAAAATTTATTTTATAAATAGATTTCTAAAAAAAGACTTATTTTGAAATTGGATCATTTTCTCGACGCCAAGGTTATTTGTGCCGAGGTTCAACATCTCATCACCAGCGTCATTCGTGCCGACATGCTGGACCTCAGAGCCAGGGTAAGTGGTGCCAAGAAGAGCGTATATTTGGAGTACATTTTTAGGGATCTATTTAGAAAATATTTTTTAAAAGGACTAAAATGTAAGAAAAATCATAGGTAATTAAGTCACTTGAAAAATATCTGGCTAATTAATCGTCGTAGCAAGTTTTAAACATTATTCAATCTCTCCAAAGGGGACAGCAAATGAAAAACTATATGCGTTAATGTACAGTTCTAGACTTCTAGCTC